CCCCACGCCCCGCCTGCCCGCAGCTCCCCGGGAGGAAGGACCTGTTTATCGAGGCCGACCTGATGAGCCCCCTGGACCGCATCGCCAATGTCTCCATCCTGAAGGTACCGTGGGGGCTGGGACGGGCAGCTGCCTGTGCTGCCTGCGCTGCCCATTCACACCCCAGCCTCTCCCTGCAGCAGCACGAGGTGGACAAGCTGTACAAGGTGGACAGCCGGCCAGCCCTCAGCACCAGCGACCAGTGAGTCCCCCGCCACGGCATCCCCCGGGCTGCCCACCGGGCCTGCAGCCTCCCCAGAGCCGGGCCAGGCCGGCGGGATCGGGAGGCAGGTGGTGGGGAATTGTGCTTCTTCCAGCTCGGGATTCGGCTCTGCTGGACGGGACAGGTCCCAGGGCAGAGCTGCTGAGGGAAAGGGTCCAGGTAAGGGCTGGGCATAAGGGGCCTCTGACCCTCCTCTACGATCGCAGGTTCTGCTTCCTTGTCCGGCCACGGATCAAGACCATGCGGTACATTGCTGGTGAGTGCGAGGGGCCGTTGGCTGTCACACACTGTCAACGAGGCTGGGGCTGGGGCTGTGGCTGTGGCTGCCTTGTGGGCACACGCAGGTGTGGGGAGCGTCCCATGGGCCGAGCGTCGCTGCTCTGGGCTACCAGTGTCAAGTGGGCTTGAGAAGGGCTTTCGGTGAGGCCGTAGTCTTTGCAGACCGGCCCCACACCTGGGGTTTTTCTCTCTGCCTGAGGTATTTGGGGTCCTGTGAGGTGTGGGATCCTGGAGCTCATCAGACAAGAGGAGGTGTGCCTGTCCAGGGGATGGGCAGCCTTTGCAGAGTCCACGTGTTTTTTTGTCCATAGATATTGTCAATGCTGACAAGATGTCGGGGAGGAGCAGGAAGTACAAGATTATCTTCAGCCCCCAAAAGGTCAGTCTGGCCATGCTCTGCTGCCAGTTACCCTGTTGCTCTGTGTCTGCTGGGCATGCCAACCAAAAGTTCTTCATTTCTAACCCAGAAATTCTGAAAGTTCTACATTTCATTGCACACCAAAAGTTCTTCATTTCTAACTCAGAAATGTTTAATTAAAACCAAATGTTGTAATGCCTGGGAATGAGCTGTGCCCCTCCATTGCCAGATCATTTTTGCTGGGTCATGAGGATCTCTCCTTCTCTTCCAGTTTTATGCTTGCGAGATGGTGCTGGAGGAAGAGGGAGTCTTTGGTGGTGAGTGGAGTCATGGCACTGTCCCCTTCCCCTCCCCGAGGACTGGCTCACAGTACCTCTAATGCTGCAGAATCCCAGTTGAATCCCAGTACTGGGATCCCTGTGCTGGCAGGAGCGAGAGTGTGGGCAGGAACCACAGGTTCCCCTCAGCCTGACTCCTGCCTGCAGACTGGCATGCGCATGCTGCAGCGTTGGCACCTCTGCTCTGTCTTCTGGGAGGAGGGAGGGTCCTGCCACAGAGCCCTGCGGGAAGGCCCTGGCTCTCTGCTCCACTCATCCCTGTTTGCGGGGCCGGCGTGATCCTTGGAGCTGTTCCTGCTGTGAGTTGGGCAACTGTCACCTTTCCCTGTCTCAAACGCAGATGTCACCTGTGATGAATGGTCCTTCTACCTGCTGCCCCTGGATGAAGACATCATCAGCATGGAGCTGCCCGAGTTCTTCCGTGACTACTTTTTGGTCAGTGGATGCTGCCCTGCAGGATGTCAGCCCTTCCCCTGCTCGTCTGGGTCTCGGGACAGGAGAGCTTTGATCTCGCTGTCCTTGGCCCCCACCGCAGGCCCTTTCTGCTGTCTCAGGGTGGCTTTTGCTGGGGGTAGCTGCTCTGAGGGGCTGTGATGCCTCCCGTCTGCATGCTGATCCCCCACCCTGCCCCCTCCTCTGCTCCCTCCCCAGCAGCTCTGGGGCATCCTGGCTTGTTCCTGTGCATGTTCCTCCTGGAAGTGCCGAGCCCAGGCCTGCTCCATCTCCAGCCACATTCCCCAATGTGGCAGTTGTTTCCCAACCAGCCCGGACCGCTCCCTGACATCTCGTCCCTGCAGGAGGGAGATCACCGCTGGATTAACTCGGTTGCCCGAGCCCTGCAGCTACTGAACTCCCTGTACGGGCCTTTTGGCAAGGCCTACGGCATCGGCCGGTGCGCTAAGGTATGGCTGGGCTCAGCTGGAGTACAGGAAACCCCCTTGGCTCCCTGTAAGGGGCACAGCTCACAGGGAATCCAGCCCTACCAATGGCAGAGGGGACACCGCGTTGCTGCCTCGTCCGAGGCGGCTCCAGGAGGCTCAGCAGGTTTGTGGGGGGCTCTGCCGTCCCTACAGCCAGCGCTGCCTCTGTCGAGATTGGGCAGGGTCAGCTGCCACAGCATCTGCTGCTCACTAGGGTGTTGTGGAGCTCCCTGCGCCCTGGAAGGGGAAGCGCTTGAGCTCCAGGTCTACAGGTTGGCCCTGTCCCTTGGCCCATGTCCTGGCTGGACCACAGTGGTGCAGGAGGGGCTGGTGCTGGGGGGAGCCCAGGGCTGCTCCCCTGGGCCCTGCCATGCTCTGCCTGTCACAGATGAGCTACGAGCTGTGGCGAGACCTGGAGGAGGAGAGCGAGAGCGATGGCCAGGGCAGGAAGCCTGAGATTGGCAACATCTTCCTCATGGACAGAGGTAGGCTGGAGCAAGCAGGTGAGGGCTGGCCAAGGAAGAGCAGCTTGGCTGGCAGCTCACCCAGAGAAGGATCTGGTGAACCAGGCAGGGAGCAGGAGGGGACAGGGGTGGCTGGCTGCAGTGGTTGAGGCTGGGCAGGGGAGGCAGGAGGAGCAGAAAGGCAGCCCAGACACCATCTCTTGTTTCAGACATGGACTATGTGACAGCACTGTGCTCCCAGGTGGTGTATGAGGGGCTGGTGGATGACACCTTCCGCATCAAGTGCGGTAGGTTGACGGGGAGGGTGACAGGGTGGCACGGGGCCCTGTGCCCGCCTGGCGAGAGGCTCCAGGGATTGGGCCCAGCATTGCCAGACCCAGGGCCCGTGTGCTGCAGCCCTGAGTCTGCTCGCTGCGGGAATGGTCCCAGCGTTGGGTGCTGCTGGAGACTGCCCATGACGATGGCCCTCAGTCTGACTGAGCGGCCGGGCAGGCATCCTCCATCTCTGCTGCCTTTTGCAGAGGGGCCAGTGCGTCTGGGGGTGTCACTAGTGCTGGTGCAAAGCAGTTCTTTGTCCTTCTCTGCAGGGAGTGTGGATTTTGGGCCAGACGTCACCTCTTCTGACAAGAGTATTAAGGTGCTGCTCAATGCCCAGGACAAAGTGAGTCCTTGGGGGAAGCAGGTCCCCTGTGGCACTGGGAGGAGGCTGAGTGGGGCATTTCCCCTCCCCTGAACCTTATCCAGGAGCAGCCAGGAGCTGCTGGGCCTCAGAGCACATGTTTGGGATGTGTCAGGGCATAAAGACCATAGAAACATGGTTTGCATGGGCAGGGTCCCTGTGTGTGGGGTGTGTGGTGCTGGCCAGTCAGTATTTTGGGGTGCTGACTGCCCCGGGGGGGGTTATCCCCTCGTCACCCTGCTCAGTCTGCTGGCAAGCATCAGCTCAGGGGCTGGGACTCACACGCTGGCACAGAGGAATGTAGGGCACGTGCCCGGCACTGACAGCTGCAGTGCTCTCCGCAGGTCTTCAGCCAGATTCGGAATGAGCACTTTTCCAGCGTGTTTGGCTTCCTGAGCCAGAAGTCGCGTAACCTGCAGGCACAGTACGATGTGAGCATCACCCCAGGGTGCAGGATGCCCACCCTGCCATCCCCATGCAGCCCCATCAGTTCCCCAGGTGCTCTGTCTCCCACAGCGGCGCCGCGGCATGGACATCAAGCAGATGAAGAACTTTGTCTCCCAGGAACTGAAGGGACTAAAGCAAGAGCATCGCCTCCTGAGCCTGCGTAGGAGCCACAGCCGGGACAGCAGGGAGGGAGAGGCCTGTGGCTGCTGCGGCGGCTGCCTGGGCTCCTGGGGGAAGCAGGGGTGGGGGAGATAGGGACAAGTGATACTTGGAGCTTGTCATGCACCCTGAGCGGCACCTCGAGCGTGTCCAGAGAAGGGCAACGAAGCTGGTGCAAGGTCTGGAGCACAGGTCTTATGGGGAGCAGCTGAGGGAACTGGGGGGGTTTAGTCTGGAGAAGAGGAGGCTGAGGGGAGACCTCATCGCCCTCTACAGCTCCCTGAAAGGAGGGTGCAGAGAGGGGGGATGAGTCTCTTGAACCAAGGAACAAGCGACAGGACAAGAGGGAATGGCCTCAAGCTGCACCAGGGCAGGGTCAGACTGGCTCTTAGGAAGTATTTCTTTGCAGAAGGGGCTGTTGGGCGTTGGAATGGGCTGCCCAGGGCAGGGGGGGAGTCCCCATCCCTGGAGGGGTTGAAGAGTCGGGTTGACCCAGCACTGAGGGATCTGGTGGAGTTGAGAACGGTCAGTGTGAGGGTCATGGTTGGACTGGATGATCTTCAAGGGCTTTCTGAACCTTGACGATTCTGTGATTCAATTCGTGACACAGATATTGGTGCCTGTGAGTCCATCATGAAGAAGAAAACCAAGCAGGATTTCCAGGAGATGATCAAGGCTGAGCACTGTGAGTGCTGTCCCCTGTCCCAATCCTTGCTCCCCACCCTCTGCTCTGACCCGCTTGCCCCAAGCCTGTGCAGCCTTGCACCTGGGTGCCCTCAGTGTGACCGCAGTCCCTCAAGGGGGGGCTCGATGTCCTAAATAGGGTCAAGCTGCATCCTCAGAGGCCTGGGGTGGGGTGGGGGTCCCAGCATTGCAAGCCTGCCCCACTCCCTGGGGCTCAGGGAGGGCAGCTGAGCCCAGAGTCCTGGCGAGAGGCCTGGGGGCAAGTGAAGTGATGCTGTCTGGTCCCCCCCACAGCTCTGCTGGAAGGTGTTGACGTGCGCGAGAGCACCAGCTTCATTGAGGAGCACATCGACCGGCAGGTGAGAGTGCAGCAGAGGTGCTCTGGCTGCCCCGTCCTGCAGTGGGGGGCTCACAGCCTGCTCCCCCCTAGGTATCCCCCATTGAGAGCCTGCGCCTGATGTGCCTCCTGTCCATTACGGAGAACGGTGAGTGCACGGGGCAGGCAGGGGTGGCAACTGGTGTCCCCCCAGCCTTGGTGCCAAGCTCAGCCTGGTGCTCCCCACAGGTCTCATCCCCAAAGACTACCGCTCCCTCAAAACCCAGTACCTGCAGGTGAGTGTCTGGAGGCCCGCAGCAGCACTAGTGTCATGTCAGACGGGGCTTCCCCTCCTTGCTGTGGCTTGGCGCCAGGCAGCAGCACCCCCAGGAATGCTCAGGCTGGTTCTGCAGGGCAGCCCCAGGTTCTGCACAACTCCTGAGCTCTGCCTGCTCTTGCCTGTGCCCCTGCCCACGGGGTTGCTCTCAGCAGCCTCCCCATGGACATGGCCCCCTGCTCGCAGCTGGGGCTCTGCGCTGAGCCAGCTGCCCCTCTCCAGAGCTACGGGCCCGAGCACTTGCTGACCTTCCACAACCTGAAGCGTGTGGGGCTGCTGACCGAGCAGGCGGCAGGAGAGACCCTGACTGCTGTGGAGAGCAAAGTCAGCAAACTGGTGACAGACCGCGCTGCAGGTGAGAGCCAGCTCTGCCCTGCGTGTCCCCTGGGCTGAGGGCAGCCCGTGGATGGACCTGCCCTGTGGGGAGCTGCTGCCTCAGAGCCGGCTGGAAGCACATGGCAAACATGGCCGCTGTGGGCATGGAGCATGTCCCCAGCGATGTGGCTGTGAGCAGGGCCCTCTCCAAGAGCTCGGCACAGCCCCTGGGCCCAGCCTGCAGCTGGATGGGCTGAGACAAAGCCAGAGGCCTTGAGCTGTTTCTCCTCATCTTTTCCAGGAAAGATCACAGATGCGTTTAATTCTTTGGCCAGGAAGAGCAATTTTCGAGCCATAAGCAAGAAACTGGGCTTGGTACGTCCTCACGGGCAGTGGGAGGGGGCTTCTCCCCAGGACAAGGGGTCACTGCTGAGGAGGGCAGCTCTGTGGCCTCTGTCCTGAGGAGAAGAGGTCCTGGGGTGACAGAGAGGTGACGTTTCTGTCCCTGGCACTTGGATGCCCAGTCTGCCCGGGCTGCAGGTGTGGGCAGGGCATGGCAGAGGCTTGCTCTGAGGGTCTGTCCCTCCTCGCTCACTGGTGCCTCTGAGGGGGTGAGTGGTCCTGTACCCTGAGCATCACACATCTCTGTAGATCCCCCGGGTAGACGGAGAGTACGACCTGAAAATGCCTCGGGACATGGCTTATGTGTTCAGTGGGGCCTACATCCCCCTGAGCTGCAAGATCATTGAGCAGGTGAGCCCGTCTGCTGCTGGGGAGCACTGCAGGCATCCCCCCAAGCTTTAGGGGGGTCCCGCCACCTGGGGCTGGTGGCATTCATCTGCTGGCCAGTGCCTCCCTCTGCGTTCTGCAGAGCCTGACCTGGGCCTGACGTGCTGCCCTGTCCCTCAGGTGCTGGAGCGCCGGGGCTGGCTGGGCCTGGAGGAGGTTGTGCGGCTGCTCAACGGCAATGAGTTTTCCGTCTCAGGTAGTGCCAGTGCCAAGCTGGGCGTGGGTGGGACTGGGGCCGGTGGGTCTGACAGCACTTCTGCCACCTCTAGACAGCACTGTGGAGGACAACCCCACCTGGGAGTCCCAGCGCGTCATCCTTGCTGTCTTCCTGGGGGGCTGCACCTTCTCTGAAATTGCTGCCCTGCGGTTTCTGGGGAAGGAGAGAGGTAGGATCTGCAGTGGGACAGGGAGCCACTGCCTGCCAAGGGGCAGTGAGCAGGCAGGAGCTGAGGGGCTCCCGCAGCCGCAGGGTAAAGCCAAGCAGCGGCCATGCTGGGTGTCAGCCACGGCTAAAGCTGTGTGGAAGGGGGTGGGTGAGATCCGTGGGCCCCCTTGGTTGGCGTTCCCTCGGCTGGGAACCACTCTGGGGGCGCTGGCTCTGCCCCACAGTGCGGGCGGGGCACTGGTGGGGCCTCTCTCGCAGGTTGCAAGTTCATCTTCCTGACCACGGCCATCACCAACAGCGCCCGCATGATGGAGTCCATGATCGAGGCCAAGGCCTGAGGCCCGGCCGGGCTGGGGTGGCGGGGGGGCCTCTGCCGCTCTCCGTGCCCCCCTCGTGCCAATAAACATATGTCCTGGCACCCACCCACCCGGCTCCGTCTCCGTCACGACGCTGCGGCCCAGGGGGGTCCCGCGGGGGCAGCACCTGTGCGGGCAGGGGGAGGCCGCGCCCGGGGGCCGCTGTCCCGGCGCTTGAGCGGGGCTTTGCATCGGGGGCGTGGCTTCCTGGCGCAGCAGGGCGCATGCGCAGAGTGGCTGAGTCTCCGTCCGGAGGGCGTGGCCTCTCGCGCGCCGTCGCGTGGCCACTGTCAAATGACGCGCGCACGCGCCCACCCAGTCTCGCGGCGGAGGTGCCCGTTACTGGTGACGGCACCAGTCTCGATCGTGATTGGCTAGCGGCGCCGACGGCTTTTCGCTGCCATTGGCTGGCGGGCCGCTTGGGGCGGGGCCATCCGCGAGGGAAGCCCTTAAATAGGGGCAGTCGGAGGGCTTTCGCCCGAGCGGCAGTTGAGGCGGAGGAGTGCGAGGAGGCGGGCGCT